TTTGGTGACTAAGGAGGCAGATTAGCTAATGGGCTATTGGATTGAGTCATGCAAACCTGTTTCCCAAAGAGGTTTGAGCACAGTGCAAAATGCAAATGAAAACTTTATACAGTGATTTGCAAGTCATTTAAACAACATTCATATCACCATATCAAATGTTTGTTCATTTCGATGTTGATGCCAGCAACACATTTTTCCAGCCCAATTTTTCCCTCTCACAGGATTTCCAAAAACTTTTGAAATGTTTTATTGCAACAAATTCAAAATGAGCATATGTTTTTTAATATATTTTTCAAAACTGCATGTCTAAAACACTTGCAGAATCTCTAAATGCTGTCTTCATACTATTTCCAATTAATTATAGGGTTCAAAAGAATTGCATATAGTTGCATTCTGTTTTTATTAACACCTGTCACAACTTTTTGGGGAATGGTGTTGAACTTAATTTCTAATGTTTGTTATCAATATGATGTAATTTATTTCCTCCTATTAGCAAAACGTTATTCAGTGAATGGACACACAATCAGACAGTAAACCACAAACTGAGCCAGAAGCACTGACCTGTCATTTTCAGTCTGGTCAGTCTGCTTCACTCTTGTGTGCAGCAGTTACTCTGCTCCACAGCAAGATTCCATTTCAGGTTTTCCAGGCTCACAGCCAGGGGAGAGGATCCGGAGGGCTGGAAGCGTGCAGCCTGGTTAAGTATTTGAATTATGTCATTGACGTCAGCACAGTCATAAACCTCCCTGCGGCCCTTCCCCCTAACTGGCCCGTGCCAACACAGCTCCATGGTGCATTGTGAATGAGCCGTCAAACAGGCCTTGATGAGATGTTTGTATGTGCATGTGTGTTTTCAAGTCTTTTGTTTTCATAGGCGATGAGATTATTTCACAGCTGTAAACTATGAAGCGACACAATTACTGAGGCTTGTTTGTGAGAAGACCAAGAGTGGCGTGGTTTCGGGGGTTGGACCGTCTCTGATTGTCCACCGCATATCACTTTAAATCTCATGCTACCTTAAAAGGGAAAGCATTATACAAAGTTGTCTCACATATAGCACACCAACTTATTCCTGTAGCACAGCAAGGGAAACAATAGATTTGAATTGTAACTTGTAACAGTATGCTAATATAATTTTTCTGTGGCTATGACAATTTTTTTCGTAAGGGTTTTTAACAATAGATAGGATAAAATTATATATACACAAGCATGATGAAATATATTATTTTGAAACACAATGAGTAATTAAACTTAAAGAAAATAAAGTACAGAATGATGAACTTAAATATGCTTTGCTAAAATCTAAAAAGCATGCATGATATATAGAAATTAAAAATATTGAATTTTTAAAATTCTGAAAATATACTTGTAATGTAATAAAACTGATAAATTACGTTATTTGTGAGAGTATAATATGTGCAACACTGTTTTTGCATTTTATTCATATACTACCTTGTGTTAAAATCAGAAAATGTTCAGAGTTCAAAGCAGATGGCATAATGCAAATGATTGACATGAAGAGCAAAGGCTTTTGCAAGAGTAATCATGAATTTGCAAAGTTTTCCGCCCCTCTCGGACTTTTGAACAAATTGACGTACATTGGAGGTGATACAACGGTAAATTATTGACCCGCATCCTGCCTTAGCCCCACGTGCAATGCAAAATCAATAGCAAACGACTGAATACGTGCAAGTTACTGTGTCAAAGTGTGCATTTCTCTTTTGTGATATTGTGAGGTCACTATGAGGAATGTGTGTTTGCGTACATGCAGATAGCCTTGGCCTGTTTACAGGTCAGCCATTGGTGTCTTGAGTTGACCATCAACTTTCTTTTCCCGCACTTTCCAAATGTCTGGTGAATTAACAATGAACATTAACACAACTAAAGGCATTGTAGTCACTGTGTTAAAGTCAGCCTCGCTATAAAACTCAAAATACTGCATAAAAAATGCCAACTTATAATCCACTCTCACACAGAAAGCCATTGTGAAAATCAAGTTTAAAAGAAAATAAAAAAAACATTTACAATAAAAAATATTGTGTAGTTTTTCAGTGTTGTGCTTCTTAATGAGAAACTGCTCTGTATAGCTGTCACATTTAAATGCTACCCAGATGTCGCTTACAATAATAATGCTAACCCAATGATACATACACAAATGTACCCTAATAGGGTCATTTTGCTGTTTTTGTACTACTTTTACTGAAGTGTGTGTTTGGTCTGTCCATGGCAGTTGTTGGTATGAGCTGAGACACTGCAATTCTTCAGTCAGACACTGAGGAAAAACAGCTTATGGGGGTAGGTTGAGAACATAGAGAGGTGCAGTGTGAGGGGGATGTAAGTGGAAGGTGTTTTGGCAGAAATGGTGGTTTGGGAGCAGCCCTGCTCGTTAGTGTGGTGGATGGCTCTTACAGAAGCTGGTTTGTGGCCCTACAGAGGAGAGAGAGGGGAAAAAGGGGGAGAGGGGAAGGCAGACGAGGTCTCTCTGCACACTGAGGTCTGTTGTCCTCTTTGCAGCCTCCAGCATATGGCCAAAGCATTAGAACTCACCAAGAAAAAAAAGAAAAAGACATCCACTGAAAAAACAGGCTGGAAAAGTACCTCACACTCTGTCTGGAAGCAGGTTTCTCAGACTGAATGTGCGTCACGCCACCTTTGACTGGTGACACTGTGAAATGTCAGCCCATTTAACACTGTATTTATGAACAACCAAAGGTGATGATAGGTTCATTCCTTCTACTCATACCGTGTGCATGTGCATAACTTGTTTTATTTAGAACTTCAACTCATATGTCATTGTTATACAGCCCAACTAAGGGAAGTTTGGCTCCAGACTTTGAAAAAATTTAACTTTTCAGCCACTGCTTTAGCCCAAAAAGCCAAAGGTCCAGCAAGCTTTTCTACAGTAGTCTGAGTGTTTCACTCTTATATGTTCTGGACTCTGTCAGTGATTAAGCTGCCAGCTTCAAAATGACTCGAATCCCAATCATACAGACTTTGCAGATGAGCCAGTCCTTTGATGTTTCAAGGTACCCAGCTAAAATGTCTGCATATGCATGCGCCCTCTTCTAAGGGAATGAGGGCAGGATGTGGTGACACCTTCTTGGCAAAGTCTACTGCCCCTATGGACCAAGACAGCCACACGCTGATGTATACCCAGTTTCAACAGCTCACTGCCTTGTGCATGAGCTGCTTTGATGTTATACTTCTGCTCTGTGTCAGTGACTTTTGCATGGCTTGCGTGCCGGTGGAGTCTGTGAATAGGCTGGTCCGCAAAACTTGGCATCCAGTTATGTGTCGTATCGAAGCCAAAGTTTCTTTGAATCAGCCAACCAGGAACTTAAGGAAATAAAAATTAGTCTAACCCGAAAAATGACACAAGTGGTAGCAGTCGTGTAATATGAGGAGCCAGTGGCATGAGTTTCCTTGAGTGAACTTAAACAGCTGAAAGTTCACTTTTTTGTGATTCAAAAGAATCCCGGGTGTTGTTTTGATTACTTTCAAAGGTGAACTATTTCCTTTAACTGTGCTACATTGTCTGGGGTTGCATTGAAGTTCTTTGTTCAGCACTGGTGGTTCAAAATCTGTATGCCATCACTGTGCTTTGAAGTGCTTTGATCCACTATATTGACGTAAATTGGGGAGCAGCACGCTGGCTGTCCTGTTGTGCTGAGCATATGGGGTAAATTTCTTCCATGTGTGAAGTGCTATGAAGTAGAGATCAGTCTTTTCCATAGAAAAGGAAGGTGGGGAGATCCAGATGTTTAGCGTTCGCTCCCTCCAGCTAGAAATTTGTTGAAACATTGGCATATTGAGCAGTGATACTTTTTAATATGTTTCCTCATGTTTGAGCTTCCCAGTGATTTTCTTGTAAACCACTCTTTTCCTTCTAAACACTGTGCACCTACCACATGTGAGTCATAGCTGCTAACGACAGAGTTATTTCATCAAACGACAGCTATGATTGCCTTCAGCAGTCACTCCACCATTCATTAATTCCACTCCATGTTTTCTGGGAGTTCATAGCCAAAGAGGAAGTGCTTTGGTTTCTTTGGCTCACAGTGTGGCCCTAGCCTGGACTCCCCCCAATTCAGGGAGTCAAAATTTGCCTCTCGTGTTGCTTATGCAAACACAAGTTTGATGTTTGATATAATTTTTTTTTCCTCCCTCAGAGAGGTTCAGAGAGGAGAGAACCAGTTTGTGAAGCATGGTGGTGTGCTGTGAGCTGCTGTAGATATGCAGTTCACCAGGGTTCCTTGAAGTGGTCTGCATGTCAGAAAGGAAGTCGTTGGAAATGAGTTGTCTTTGCAGTAGTGACGACGTCCTCCTGCTCCTATTGTCTATAAAGTTCTAATGAAATTTCACAGAGATGCATTTGTTTGGATGTAATCCCAGTGACAGGAATAAAAGCTAAAATGATTGTGTCTCCTGCACCAAAAGCAGTTAGGGTTTTTGTGTTTTTTTTAGTCTAAATGCATGTATACACCATTTCTATTCATTTAAATGGGCAGGGGTCACAGACACACCAACAGCAGGAGGCAGCAAACTGCCTAGTCTGCAAGCTACTTCTTCAAACAAGTGGAACTGAGAGGGGGATAATTTAATGAGAGAGAGGGAGAAGTTGAGCAAGGGTGGGGGAACCAGACAAAATGGGAGGGGGTTTGCAGCACGCACAAGAGGGAGGGAAAGAGGGGGTACGCAGAGAATAAGGCTACAGAGAGACAGAAAGACAGAGCGAGTCGGCAAACGGTGACCATAACCACTGTTTGTTTGAGAAAACAACTCCCCTGAACTTTCGGAGGTGGTGGAGCGGAACAAGATGAAGGAGCTCTGCGTACACACCTCCTCATCTTCCTCTGCGTCTTCCGGAGGTTCTGCATGTCAGTGCCCCTTACGATCAAGCCACTCTGGGACACTTGGACCGCCACGCATGGTGTCTGGAGGATCAAGTATGGACATGGATCCTCTCAGACCTGATTACATGTCCATGTGTCTCTTGGCAGATGAGTCCTACCAGAAACTGGCTATGGAAACCATGGAGGAGCTGGACTGGTGTCTGGACCAGTTGGAGACCATCCAGACCTACCGGTCTGTCAGTGACATGGCCTCCAACAAGGTAAGACAATCTGGGCCATATGTTAATATATGTAAATGTGACAACAACGCATGTGTGAAGTTACCTGGGACTGTCTACATGTATTTATCAATTACCGTGGTTTTATAAAAAGCTATTAGCCTCTCCTCCTGGATGAAATACCTGAAAGCACTACAAACATTCCCATTTTTGATAATTAACTTCAGGGGTAAAAAACTATTTGGGTATTTGATCATGGGCACAGTAGGTTATTAAGATGATTTTATCAAGTCACAAAAGAACCATTAGTTCATTAGTGTGAAAAGCTATCATGCACATAGTGCTGTGCTTTCATCTAGAATCATATTGCACAGCAAACTCTTGCATGCATGCTTCATTTTGCCAACATCTCTTTTTACCCACTGAAATAACAATCATTAGAGTGTGCAAAACCATAATTAAAAAAGATTTAAGTTAAACATTATAATTGTAACCTATATCTCATACTATGCAATGCAAAATTATAATTATTACCATCACGGTACATATTCTGTAACGTGCTCACTGAAGGCATGATATTTGTGATGATGGCTTGACTGGCCTGTGATGACCTGCCAGCCTGCATATATCTGTGTATAATTGCTCTTTGTTTCTGTGTGGTTGTGCATTTGCACAGTCTACGGAAAATGTAAAATACTTTTAGCCACATTGACGCATTTGCAAAGCAACAGCTGTTCTGTGGTAGCATATCAGCACGCATCATCATTTTATAGATCTCTTGATAAAAAAGGAGAAAAAAAAAGTCAATGTTTGCTTCGCTGCATAACAACTTTAGCAAACTACCTGTTGCATCTGAGCACCATTATTGCCTGAATTCCAGGGAAAGGGCTGTCCTGCTTGTATATCCTTACCTTAATCAAACTGCCCGAGACACACAGCTTGCTATACTACTAGGTTGGGCTGATTAAAACATTACCAAATGCTTTTTTCATTCATTTTAGTGCTGTGTTGATATTGGCTCGTTTCTAAGATGTAGCTCTGTGTGAGTTCATTTAGCAGGGCCCTTATTGCTTAAGGCTGGTTTGAAAGTACTGAACTTATTCTTCTGCTTGCTGCGGAAGAGGCAAAACCAGATCTGCTATATGTTCCATTATTATAGAATAATGCCAGGATAATTTTATAACTGCATCTTCTTTACAAGGGGCCAAACCATTTAGTTTAGCGTGTTTAAAAGCTGTACTTGTGTCTCACGTTGCCTGGAAAGTTATTAAATGGTAAAACTCAGTTTATAGTTAATATAACTGCCCAAAAAATGTAACCAAAGGGTGAGAAAATGTCTGGTCTCATCGGTGGTCTTAGCAGCGTGTTGTTTTAAGCATTTAAAAGTGCCAGTCTTCCAGTTTGGTTTTACTGAATTTAAACACACTGTGGTTTTTAAACCAGCATTTTTGAACTAATTACTTCCCTTTGCTTTGATGCACATGAGCCTGTTTTTTTCTTTGTGCGTATTTCACTTCAAAATTTACTGTATGCGGCACATTATTGCTCAGACAGCGGAGACTGTACGGCGACATCAGATTATAAACACCCAGGGTGGTGGTGTCCATTTCCGTCTGTGCTCTAAGCTTTGGTCTGAGGGAGGATTGGGATGGGGAGGGGGTGTTGTCAGACCATGATGGGTGACTCTGACCGTGACTCCAGCTTCCTGTCTCTGTATTTCCTGTGCCTCCTCTCCTCTGCTCACTTGTTACTCGATGACAATAGGGGTTGAGTCCTAACAGATAGCTACATCCCCGGGACTGTCAAGACAATGAGAAAAGGCCCTCTAGGCCGTAGCAGCGTAGCAACTTGTTCAGGCAAACCAGGTACAGATTCCTAACAACATGAGCCAGTGCCATTGTTGACCAATGCTGATCTTTTAAAAGTGTAGTGGGCAACAGCTTTATGATGTTACAGTTAAGTTTCAACAGTGTCCTACATTGTTGTGCAATTGTACAGGGATAGAAAGAAGCTGTTTATTGGTCCATCGAGCTCTTATTGCAAAATTGGGAGTCAAGTCCAGTGATACTGTTACACCATCGGCCCAGTTTTTGTGGGCGTTTGACGCAAGTTTTGACAAAGAGTCAGGTTTTCTTTTTTTTTTCACCACTAGATGTAATTGAAGCCACAATCAAACCCGGGGTGTCTCCGTTTTCAGTTTCCAAGGGCACAGGTGTATCCGGGGCTACAAGACCACACACTCTGCTGACCGCCAGCCTGGTTGCTGTGACCTCAGAGCGGGGAGCTACTTCCCTGCCCCTCACTATCATTAACCTCGCCACACTTCCACGCCGATGCCGGTGACGGCCTTGGACAAACAGTGCCATCTGAATGTAGTTAAAGGAGTTTAGTGCTTTTGCGGGTAGCGTGCAGGCAAGCCCCTCGAGGAGAACACAAGCGAGTAGGAAACTTTAACTCATGTGTGGTCACTTCAGCTTTGAAGCACCCGCCGTCTTCACTGGGGAAAGAATGACAAAATTATTGAAACAGATGCAGCGGTGGGTCTGTAGCTGTACCAGGCGTAATGGACATTAAATTATAGTGCTGCGCTTCCATTTGACTGAAAGGGTGGTGAGGAGATCACACGAGCTCCAGCGGTGATTATGGTGCTTAATCGTAATTTAAAAAAAAAAAAGTTTTACCTCTGTAATCTTCTGTTCTTCATCTGATCTTCATCTTGGAAAATAAGACAGCACAAGGAGTGCGAATGGAAAACATGTTTCTACTGTAACCCTGTTCTTACCTGTTTCTGATCAACGCCTTCGAGGAAATGTGTTGTCCTTGTGTTACTAAACAGTGTAAATTTGACATCATTCATTTGGTGTTGACACTCGAAACAGCCGCATGCATGCGACAGAGGCGGCGTGTGCTCACTCTGGGGTTTGTTCGATTGCAGTGCAATGGTGTTGCATTATGAGGTCACATTGTTCCTGAGAAATCCCATTTCTTTACGTTTTATGTTTTTCCTTTTTCTTTATTTCTCTTGTCAGTTAATATAGCAGGAACTTTAGCGTGACCCCTAAACTTGTTATCTGGGACTTTTCTGTGATGAGCTCAGGTATGTTAGTAGTTTGGTGCCTGAGGCTACAGGAAGAAGGATGTCTGCCAGTAAATGATCTCAGGGAATTACTATAGCAAAAAAAAAGGGAAGTAGGTGGAGACACACGCTCAGGCCTGTATGGGAGGGAGGAGCCATCAATCTCCTGTTAGACTTTGTAGGCCAGTCAGTTAAGTCAGCTTTATTGCTATAAGTTTCCTGCCTGACGCCAGTTGAGAAAAGAGAATAGAGAGAGGAAGACGGCTGGCTCACAGACACGCTGAGACGAGTTAAAGTACTTGGACCTTTACAGGATTTCTTTGTGCTGTGTTTGTTTTTTCGTTGAGTGACAATGGGACTATGCTGCTCTGAAAAGCAGAAGATAAACTTTGAGATGCTTGCGAGTTGGAAAAAGGTGAGTTAGCTTTATAGAGGCTTACTTTGTGTTGTAGGAGTGTAGCGTGCCATGTGGAGATGGTGTTTTATTCAAGAATAAATTGCTGGATTTGACATCTAGTTTCAGATAAAAAAAATAAATTTGCTCGTCAGTAATTACACTCAAAATGTTCCTGAATTGTTTTTTTCCTTCTATGATTGCATATTTGAAAATATGTTGGTCTTTACTTTTTGTAGCATGTTGTTTCAGTAGCTTTTTGGTTTTTTTTCGACACAGTTATATTATGCATTAAATATTTAAACTTTATTAAACAACGGCTCATGATTGTGTGAGAGCAAATTGCTTTTTTGTCAGAGTTTGCGCAACTTCTCTCAGTTTCCTCAGTTTGTTCTGAAACTGAGAATCATTTGCTAACGTAAAAGGATGTATGAGTTAGCGCCATGCATTGAGTAATCTGGGTTACTGAGAACACTTGCAGTCTTGTCATCGTGCCGTGTGTGTGTGTGTGATGTGTTTCAGCTGAACTACACAACCCCGGGTGACTGACATACAGCTGTGTGCCTAATTCACTTCCTAGAGGTCACTCAAATCCACACTGTGCTGCATTAAAGAATCAATTACAAGCTCTCTTTGAGCAGACTAAAGCCAACTGATTCCAGCTTCTTTGATCTTTCTGGGTTTTTAGTGCAGCCAATGCTTTGAAAGTGGTATTCAGGTTCCACAGTCAACTAGAGGTTAGCTGTCTGGTTGACAGCTATTAGACAGCTGTTGAGATCAGAGAGTCTGGTTCAGTATGAAGCAAAAAGAACTCATTATAAGAGAGAATATAAGATCTGGCAGAAACCACAATGACAGGTTTTCTATTTTCTTTCCGGTGTTAGAATACAGAGTTATAAAAAAAGGAAAACCCAATTACTTTCTATGGAAATGGCCTTTATTGCACACACCATTACTACATAGTTTTCATAATCAAGTTTGGGGTGTGATGTTTGCATATGCTTATTCAAATCGAAAAGAACATTTTGCATGAGAGATAAAAATCGATCTCCTTTTGCACAGAAGCTATGGGTTTTTTAAAAATGCCTATCTGGAGCGTCGCTGCTGCGGTTTTTGTGATAGGTTTGTTTATGTTTATGATGCAGTGCTGTGTTTTTAAAGTAGGGACCACCATGAGAACAGGACCATGTGATTCTGTTGCCATGGCATTCGGGTTGCCATGCAGATGGTGGTACACTGATGGCAGACTGAAAACTCTGTCGTCTGCTTGATACAGCAAAACATCACGATTATGGACTGAACTATTTGCACATCCCCATTTTCTGTTTTTAAAATATGTTTAGTTCTGTGTCTGAGTTTGTGTCTGTGTCTCATCATCCGTGTGATAAACGCTCTGGTGCTTTGAAGTCTCACGTTGCGCAGTATGCTTTGCATCTGTTCTGCATTACTGTGCAGGGGGAGCATTTTAAGTAGAGAAGGGAGACAGCAGTGGGAGGGGGGTTTCACAGAACACAGGAGTGAGAGAGAAATAGCTAGAAATAGGGAGGAAGATGTGGGGGATCCTCCAAGCTCTCATTTTCTGCAGTGCTGTACATGAGCATCAGTTTTTAGCGAGGGTGGGAGGCAAAGAGAGAGACAGAGAGAGTGAGAGAGAGAGGCTCCAGCAATTTGTGCCACAGGGAACTCTACAGCTATAGCGCACCCCCATCTCCTTCTCCTCCTCTCTGCCTTTTTCAGTCCCTCTCTTTCTTTCCTCCTTCTGCCTTTTTTCCTGACTTGCCAAATCTGGGCTTGGAAAGGCTGGATTTTCTCCTGTATGATTTTTGGATGGTGGCAGAAGGAGATGGAGGTTTGAAGAAAGGGACAGAGGCAGCGACAGCCAGAGGAAAGGAAATATTGATCGCATCCAGGGGGATTCCATCACTCACGACAGTGGCTCGCGATCCTTGATAACAATGGAGGAAGCTAGGAGGAGGCGCGTTTGGCTGGGAATGTAGGGCTCCGCCACAGCCCCTCTCCAGAGACTTCGGCTGGGGCGTTTTTACCGTAGTCAGCTGCTGCAAGGCGGTGATTTGGTGACGCCTTGAGCTTCAGGCTGTAGGGCTGAGCTAAGCCTTGGGGGTCCACTCAGAGAGGAGCACTTACTGCTTCTGCTGGGGGGCTCAGCACTGCTTAGCACCATGCCTGAGGCCAACTACCTGTTCTCTGTGTCCTGGGGATACATTAAGGTGTGTCCCAGAGGAGGTTTTCCATTAATCGGACTGTTTCTGTGCATATTCTACATTCATGTCTGTTTTCTGTTGCTGGTGAAGAGCCCAATTTCTCTTTGAATGCATTACGACATGTTTTTAATCTTGCTCAGTGGTTGCATGTGTTGAGAAAACAGGCATCTTTTGCTTATCTGTAAAATTTGCATAAAGGAAATATAAACTATGCACAGCACGCATCGTATATGCTGTGTTGAAACACGAAGCAGTCTGGATAAGGAGACTGGGGAAGAATACACAAACCTAATATGGCTCATTAAATCCAGAGAACATGGTCCCATGGGACATGTTCCAGTGGAAAATAACAGGAAAGGGTTTATTCCGCTGCTTAGAAACAGCAGTCAGACTCATTTGCTGGATGTGTTTCTGCGTATAAATCACATTACCTCCTTAACATTTTATCTCTTTGCTTCCAGTTCAAGAGGATGCTGAACCGGGAGCTAAGCCACCTGTCTGAGATGAGCCGATCAGGCAACCAAGTGTCAGAGTACATCTCCAGCACCTTCCTAGGTGAGCACTGCAGCACATGTTTACCACACACCTCCTGAAGTATACATTGCGCCATTGCAAAATGTGCTGTATGTATGACTTCAGTGAGCCAGCATCCTTCAGGAATGTCACAGAGGTTGCGAGGTTACCCAAAGCATGTGCCAAGTAGTGGGGAAACTCACAGTTCCTCTGCAACGCTGTTCTTAAACCAGTCTGATCTGGTCTGGAAGGGAGACAGGGTCCCCTCGCTCCGACTGCAGAGATATGTGAAGGGAGGAGGGAGGGCTTTGTACTCAGGGAAGACTTCCCTCTGGAGAGATTAGGAGCAGTGAGTCGGAGAGAGAGAGGGTGTTTGTGTGCTTACAGTGCCATCAGGTTCAGAGAGATGCTGCATTATTCATCAGTGGGACAGCAGTGGTTGCTTGTCTTTAAAAAAAAAAAAGCCTGGCGGCATTTCGTGTCTAATGGCCAGCCAGCTCGCCAGCCCTGCAAACCACTCTGCCCCTCAGGTTTTTCTACCCTCCCATCTAGCTCACCACCAGCATACATACAGCCAGACTCCCAGCTTATAAGGGCTCACTGCAGACTAATGTTGTGGCTCTTGTTAGTGAACACGTGTCTATTTTCCTGCCTCGGAGCAGCAAAACATAAAAAATGACAGAAAAAAGACAAGATGCTGGATGCATGGTGGAAAGAGGAAAAGAAAAAGCTACCTCTTGTGCTAACAATAGAAGTGGCGCGGTGATAGAGACAAACATGAAAGCTCAGCTCAGTTTATCTTTGAAGCTTTGCGGTTTTATCTGCATTGCAGCTAGCACCTGTCAGGTGTAGGGAGATGATTTTCCTGTGCTTTGTGGAGGACGCAGCTGAGATGTTTTTTTTCTCGCTCTGCGGCTGTGTGTGCAGTGCACACGTACAGACTGAGGGAGTCTCACGCTCACACACAGTGAGAAATGTCACTCAGCTAATACATGAGTCACATGCACCGACTGAACCCGCATACTTCAAAGTCCCTCCCCTAAACATTTCGGCTTAACGTGAACCATCTTTCCATGATTCTCTGAATTGTTACCAACACATGGCTCAGATTCACAGAATGCCTGGAATACTGCCATGTTTCTCTGATCATCATAACAACTCATTAGCACAGCCTGAGCCTTTGTCTCATAAAACATTTGCATCTCATCAGTGTATTCAGCTATTTTACACATTTATTTTTTTGCCTTTCCTGCTTTTGTTACTAGTGTATTTTTATTGCAGAAGACAGGCATTGAGGGATTGATTGCTAATTTAATAGCAGCCATTGCAGCTTTTTTGTCTTGAAAACCACCTTTTTTAATGTTAATTCTATTTTCTCCAGACAAGCAGAATGAGTTGGAGCTTCCGTGTCCAGTTCCAAAGCCGAGGGAAAGAAAGAGGAGGCAGGGCCAGCAGCAGCAGCAACAGCAGCAGCAACACGGTGGGATGATGACACAGATCAGTGGGGTGAGAAAAGTCAGCCATACATCAAGTATCTCGGGAGGTACTGGAAATCGCTTTGGAGTCAAGACGGACCAGGAGGAATTGTTGTCAAAGGTAAGTGACAGACAGACTGGAGAAACTTAAACTTGCGTGATATCTGGTGTCTCACGTGCTCAAACACTTACATTTGTGTCCTCTCTAACAGGACCTGGAACACATCAACAGATGGGGCCTGAATATTTTCAAAGTGGCTGAGCATTCTCACAATCGACCTCTCACATGCGTCATGTACACCATCTTCCAGGTTTGTTTTCCGCCTCAGCTTCCATCCTTTAATCGGGAAAGAGCTCATGAAAACTGTGAAGCCATTCAAACAAACACACACACAAGCCGTGTCAGTGTGTACATCATGCTCTGTTAGCTAGCTCCAGACTATAATCAGTTTGGCTGCACATGTTTTGTTTTGTTTTTTTTCACTTGGTCTAGAAAAATGCTGCACCCCTTTCTTTCGAGGCCAAAAGATAACTTAAAATGTATTACTGCTGCAGCAGATACTGTCAGTGCACCTGTTAGTCTGGAGCCCTGCCTAGTTTATGACTACCCATCTGATGACTCAGAATTGAACTGTGGCTAGATGGATAGACCGTAGAGAAAATAATATCCTGTAGCACGTTTAGCCAGGAGTCTTGTTTTTCTAATCCACACTGTCACACGCAGGAGCGAGACCTGATGAGGACGTTCAAGATTCCAACGGACACCTTTGTGACGTTCATGCTGACCCTAGAGAGCCACTATCACTCCGACGTGGCGTACCACAACAACCTCCACGCTGCCGACGTAGCCCAGTCCACACACATCCTCCTGTCCACCCCTGCATTAGATGTAAGTCGTGTAAAATCTGTCTTACCTCACTCGCTTTCAGTACTTCTAAGTGTTCAGAGTTTGCCCTTTAAAACGTGGCACAGTTAAAGCGTGTCGCCACCGGCCACACCTTTCACTTGAACTGTTTATATTGTTGTGATGAATAGCAACAATAGAAAGAGCATACCACAGATGGTGACACATGGAAGGATTGGTTTTTCAAACTAATACCTTGCCTTGTATGGTAAGCAATTTGCTAATTTATTTTTACTTTACTTCCTTCTCTTCAAACACAGGCGGTCTTCACTGATCTGGAGATCTTGGCAGCCATTTTTGCAGCAGCCATTCACGACGTGGACCACCCAGGAGTCTCCAACCAGTTCCTAATCAATACAAGTAGGTCCACCTTTTCATTCGACATCCATCAAAAAAGTCAGCTAGAGTTATTTATTTGGTCTACATTTTGAAAAAAGGGAGAAACATTTGCTTCATTTGATGTTTAATTTCCTTTTCTTGTCCTCTTTTGCATTTAGACTCTGAGCTGGCCCTGATGTACAACGATGAGTCAGTGCTGGAAAATCACCACCTGGCCGTGGGCTTCAAACTGCTGCAGGAAGAAAATTGCGACATCTTCCAAAACCTCTCCAAGAAGCAGAGGCAGACGCTCCGGAGGATGGTCATAGAAATGGTGAGGAAATGTCTGCACATCTGTCTCAGGCAGCAGCCCCGTCTCAGGATCTGAGCAGTTTTCACAGTTTTTCTTAAATTGATTTTTTCATGTCTTGCTGTCTTCCAGGTTTTGGCAACCGACATGTCTAAACACATGAGTCTGCTGGCGGATTTGAAAACGATGGTGGAAACCAAGAAGGTCACCAGCTCTGGTGTCCTGATGCTAGACAACTACACAGACAGGATGCAGGTAAGAGGCAGACTAGTATGCACATTAGACGCAAACACTTTTCTACTTACCACAGAGGGAGGAAAAGAAAAAAAAAACATACTAAACGGTGATATTTTTTTTCCTGCAGGTTCTCCGTAACATGGTTCATTGTGCAGACCTGAGCAACCCCACCAAACCTCTGGATCTGTACCGGCAGTGGACTGACAGGATCATGGATGAGTTCTTCCACCAGGGAGACAGAGAGAGGGAGAGGGGGATGGAAATCAGCCCAATGTGTGACAAACACACAGCTTCAGTAGAGAGGACTCAGGTAGAGAACGCAGGCATCCAGCTCTCAAAATAAAACCTGAAAACTGTGGTTATTTTTCATATTTACTGACATCCTCTCTGTTTATCTTTTCTAGGTTAGCTTCATTGATTACATAGTGCACCCTCTGTGGGAGACGTGGGCTGACCTGGTCCATCCCGATGCCCAGGACATCCTGGATACACTAGAGGACAACAGGAACTGGTACCAAAGCATGATCCCCCAGAGCCCCTCACCTCCTTTCTACACCAGTGATGGAGAAGGAGGACCTCACGGGGAGGTGGAAGGGCGGCCTGTAGCGAGTAAATTCAAGTTCGATCTAACGCTGGATGACCAGGAAGGACAAGGTGAAGACAGTGGAATGATGGACACAGCTGACAGTTGTGACAATGTGACATTACAGCATCTTCCCTGTGATCAGGAAGGGGCAGAAATGACAACACATGACGGCTCCCCGGAGGAAACATAGCTTAACCGGTGGTGTTCTTGGAGCGTAGCACGTTTTTGGTGAATTCATTTTATTGCAGTGGAGCAATCCTGCAATTTGGCTCTGGCGGGAGCTGCTTGGCAAAGAGGGCCTGACTGAATGTGGGGCACCCCTGCGAACGAGGCTTGGAAACCCTGCGGTAGTTTGTCTTTGAGCCCCCCTGGAAGGGAGCTGGAAGAGTGTAGGCTCTGTTCTTTACAGAAGGGACTACTGTTGGACTGCAGAGCCTAACCTGGGTTCTTTCAGGCAGAGAATGTGAAGTGGACGTATGAATCCGTGTACTGGGACAAGTCTAAATTTCAAACTTGCACTTCAGGACATTTTTTTTTAAATGTTCATTTAGATTCTTTGTATCGTGTCGAGATTGGATACGACCCTATATTGTCCAACCACAGCTACTGGTCAGCGAGTTATTTCTAACCCAGTGGTGTTTTTTTAACACTTGTCTAAAAAGAGTAGTGTGCCTTTTTTTACAAGTGTGTGTTTTTGTAAGTTTTTTTTTTTTTTAAATAATTTATTGAACACATTCATGTAGCTGTGTGTCAGATTTTCTACAAACGGACATAGCTGTCTCACACAGTCTTCCTGATGTTCTGGCAATAGTATAAGCTTGTTCTTCACTAATGGATGTATATTATAAAAAAATCAGCTGACTTCCCAGCACGATTTGCACTTTGTGGCACACACAGTTAAACCAAGACAAAGACAGCATCTGTAACTTAAAGGAGAGACCATAGCAAGCATGTCAAACCAAATAATTTGATTTGATTTATCCAAATAAGTAACTGCGTAAGCAATTAAATGACTCATAGGCTAGATTTCGTAAAAGAGGAAAAACCTTTCTTTTTTCTTTTTTGTAGAACAAAAACCAAAACTCCAAAGATCCTGTAAGGAAAGCACTTTGTTGGATTCACTGCCACCCCTCAAAAGAATGATCGCATTTCCAAAGAGTAAATGGTGTGACAAGTCAAACTTCCGAGCGGCGGCGGGATTGATTCCCACTCACTTAAAGCCAGTTACAGACTAAATTCTCACTACAATCTTCCAAGATTAAAGTGGAAAAGAAAATATTTCATAACCCAGTTGCGTTTAAGCCCCATCCAGTGTGGAAAAACCGTCTCCGCCCTGTAATTCCCCTTTTCATTGCCTCACACAACACACCTGTTGTGGTTAGCAGTATTCTCATGAATAGGCTGACTCATTTTGAACTTTGAATGACTTCAAGGCTGAACGCGCAGTTTCAGAAACACCTGTCAGTAATGGAATAATTGAATCTTGTAGTTTTTCATTGCAGCACTTTGAATACGTCGACAGTTATGCAGCTGGTTGCTGATCTGTCCAAACACTTCCTTAGAGGTACCACGTTGTATCGTCATAATACGGGGAGATCGGTTTCATGTTTCACGATGTGTCATTCTTCTCCTGTGTGTGTGTGCGTGTGCGTGTGTGTGTGTGTGTGAGGATGCGAGAGTGTATTTAAGTGGTCACAGAGTTGCACAGTCGTGTTGCACCCAACTGTGTTGTGCTGACCCTTAAGCTGTTTGTAACAGTGTATTTATTACATTTTCTTGTATATGTTAATACTGAATTGATAATATTCGCTGTATATTTGTTATTTATATGCACTACCACGTGTCAAATGACAGTTTGACTGAACTCGTTTGTTGGTTCATCCGTGTATAGCAAGGTATTTTGCTATGAGGCCATAGCATAAAGTTATGCAGGTCAGTTTTGACGATTTGAAAAGTATGTTTCGTTTGAAATTCCAGCCAGAAGTGTTTGTGCAGTGGGAGCCAGCAGCGCTTCATACGAGGCGCAGCAGAAGCTTTTTTAGTCCTTTTGTTCCTGGCGAAGGCTGGATATTTACTGCAGCATAATGTGTACGGTGACAGGTCATTGTACAGCTATAAGAATATTTGCTGAAATTTATACCATTGTTTCAAATGTATTTTTTCAGTGTTTTCTTCACAGTATACTGTAAAACGGTCTATGTTGTGCTCAGCAAATGTTTTCTATCAGATTATTAAAACGGGCATGTATAACAGACTCTTCTGGTCCGAATGTTATTGGATTACATCAGTGACGTTTGTTTCAGTGATGTTAAAACCAGTTTGGAGACAGATTTAAGTTTCAATTTAAATGTTTTTGTCTATACACATTAAACTATTTAGAAATTGTCCTAAGATACATATTTGCACATTATGCGATTTAAGGTGCACATTCAGGAGAAAGTCTGTTAAAACTAGAAAAGTCCTGAAGAAACAGACACTGCGCATTATTTTCTCCCATTTTTAAGGCACAATCTCCAATTCCAAAAATGTAAAGTGTGAATAAAAACACTGCAATGATTTGCAAACCTCCTAAATCCATTCACAATAGAGCAAAATAAATTTGATGGCAGCAACAAATTTCAAGCAGTTCAGGGTGGTGCATCAAAAGAGTAACTGTTGCTGTTAGCAACAGGTCAGTAACATGACTGGGTAAAAAGAGCATGTTAGAGAGGCAGCGGTTGACCACGCTGCAAACAAAAACAAATCTTCTGCGCATATCCAGACGAGGTATTTAAAGTAAGACCTTGCACATTTCAGCAAGACATTGCTAAACCACATACGACCACATATTAGAACAGCATGGGGTCTGGCTGAACTACCAGCTGAAAACTGGTTAAAATACATGGAAAATACAACAAAGAAGCTAGAATCCTATATCAGACAAAAGTCCAGGAGCTGGTCTCCTTAGTTCGCAGATGTATACGGACACAATTGTTGCCTTTTAAAAAAATATTTAACAAAAATTAAATTAAGTAAATGTTGACAATGTATTTTTTAAGTTTTCTCCATTGTGATTTTGGAAGACTGTAGAACCTTTATTTTCAATAATCTGATGTATGTAACACAGTGCTAACCAACCTTGAACAGGATTGGTTCCACTGTCATAGATTTCCAGTAAATATGAGTCAAGCAAAGCCACCAACTTTCAGCATAAATAGCGCTAACACGCTAATGCAGCTCTGTCTCAAGAAAGCCAAATCTATCTCCCCTAAAGCAGCTGGCTGGTTTAACTGATAGAAAAACTTAAAGGTATCAAAAAGTAACATTAACACAAAAAGCACCAAGTATTTTGTAAGAGATTAAATTTTTACCAGACATGTCTCCACAAATCTCCACATGGAAAAAAAAGAGAAGAAAGAAAACTGATGCTGTGCAATTTCCTCTTTTTGATGGTGAAGATTTGTTGTTGCCATCAAATTTAAAATGACAAATTCAACATTTTGTGACTTACTATGAATAAAATCTGAGTTTAATAGATTTGCAAACCATTGCATTCTGTTTTTATTCACATTTAAACAGTGTCCCAAGATTGTACAAAACTCTGCGCAGGAGTTCAAGACTGGTTTCATTAAACTGCAAACCACAAGTGTGCAATGTCAGGCCTTTCCCTGCCAATGATGACATATTCCAGAAATTGGTGTTTTGAAATCATGCAATAGTGTTCAAAATCAAACAAAAAATGTTCTGTGAGTTTTTTAATGATTAGTGATTCATTCACTAAGAGGGGGAAGTGTTCTACAACATTATATACAGAAAGTTCAGCAATAATCAAGCACTTAAGTAAAGGGAGAAAAAAACTGCCAACAATGACAAAAGGAATAATGAAAGCATTTTGTCAAAGAAAAGTGAGAATGCTCTCAAATCGAATGGCTTGAATGATTTTTATTTATCAGGTAATAACACTGTTAATGGAAAAATGTAGTCACTGTTAGCGTGACTACATTTTTCCTTAAAATAATAACCATGTATTATTATTGTGCACAGTTTTTTAAAGCACTCGGCAAAAAGAATGTTTCAAGTTTCTTGAAAACTTCAATGGAAAATTATCTTATTATTCTTCTGTGGGTTTGGTTTCAGTGTCTTCTGTCACCTCATGAAATGCCAGTCATACTGGAACCTGCTGGCTGTGGGGAAGCCATACCATTTCTTGATGTTGGTTGCCAAACATGACTTTTTGTGGAATATTTGGGTTGTTGACATGTGCTGAATATGGAACAAGTCAAACTTCTTTGTGACGGTATTACAGTCACCCAAAAAAAGATAAAAAGATAAAAGGCAGCCAATTGTATTTCACTGAGCTATACTGAGTGCCACACTTTCTTTTTAGACTCACAAACATGATCTGGTGTGGAAATGATCTGAATCACACCAAATGTATGTTCAGAGGAAAACGCCAGAAGTGACAGAAGGAAAACAAACAACTGGATTCAGCCCTCAGTGATGTCACTTCCCTGCACTGACAACAGTGACTGCTCTTCCTGCTGATCTGAGGTCAGCATAGCTGGACATCAAGTCAGCAATGTAAACAGGAAAGGTAGAGATAGTGATGCTATGCGCTGGGCCCTCAGGGCATTCACTCTCCCATGGCTTTGAGCACCTTGACCCAAACAGATAAACATCTGAATACGTGATCAACAGGAGGAGAAACATGAAACGACGGCTCTGACAGTTTTCAGTTTGTGGGCAAACTCCACAAGACAAAGCAGCATAGACTTAACTAACGACATTCGCTGATGTGATCTACTCTTGATTCATGCTGAGAATAATCTCCTGACAATCTGCAATAATAATACTAACATTTATTTATTAAAACCTGACAGTGCCAGTCTGTCTCAGCTCCGTTCCTGACATGACTCTGCTTCCCCTAAAAATTCCGACAGTTACTTTATTGCATTTATGCGGTGACCAAGGTTTAAAAGGCACTCATTACTTAGCTATGAAAATTACCTGGTTGCACAAAACTGAGAAAGACCAGTCAAGAGGTCCTTTGTTCAGCGCAACACGCACTGATTTCAAATTTACAGCTTTAATGAATCACCGGTTACATTTTGACCGTGCTCAGAGTTTCATTTATTTTCGTTGGAGTTTTTGGATGTCTCGATGACACCAGGAAACCCTAAACCATCCTCGTCTTCCTTTAGATTCAGCAGAAAACGAGGTGACTGTTTATGGTAAACACGGGCGCAGACAGGCTTCCATGGGGGTGGTCCATACTGCCATAGCAATAGGCAGGGAGTTTGTTTGAAACTCTAACACAAACCTTGCGGTTTGTTGGTGACTGACGTAAGCTGGGCTGGAGGCAGCCCGCTCCGAGCCTTCGACAGCAGCACCGTCTGGGTTCAGGCTGGGCAGGACGCTCTTACTGCCAGCAGATCCAGTTGACAGCCACTCAGCGTCCGTTCTCCACTCTTACCAGCCAGGACCCGAAAGGGCCCGCGGCCCAGGGCCAAGGCAGAGAGGAAGAGAACCACTTCCAGCAAAACAAACCTGCTCTCTACATATCCACTTTGTAAAAACAAATGCCTTCCTGGAGTTTCTCCTGGCCAGCTGCTGTTTGTTTTTAGTCAGGTTGACAGTAAGAAGTGAAGTCAACTGGGTGTTCAGTGTTGGGGGAATGTGGGGTAATATGAGAATGGGGCATTCCAGGATAATTCAACAGCGCTCCAGGCTTTGTGTGTGGATGGCACAGATCATCTCAGAGTGGCTGAGACAGATGGATAAGGAAGTGAGCTCAGAAGGACACTTCTTCCCCACAACAGAATATGATGAATTTGGAAAAGATCAGATGAGGCAGCTAAGCTTCCTCTAAGGCCGTGTGTGTGTGTGTGTGTGTGTGTGTGTGTGTGTGTGTGTGTGTGTGTGTGTGTGTGTGTGTGTGTGTTGTGTCTCGTTGACTCTAAAATGCAGGATTGGGACAATAACAGGATGTGTCCTTCCCAGAAAATGTCACAAATCATCGAGTTATCAAACATGGCGGCAGTCATCGTAGATATGCCATTGTTTCTCTGAGTGTGGTTTTTGCCTTTGCATGCAAATGCCTCAGCTACTCACAAAAAGCATTAACCGTGTATGGCAGCAGTTATATAATGCACAGAACGCACAAATCCATTTAAAAAAATAAAGTCACAACACATCTGAACCATAAAGGACTCTTTCTCTCAACTTTCCATACGTGCATGCTGGCTTTGAGAACCGCGAGTAACACTAATGAGGTGTGGCCTCTGAAAACACGGCGATCAGCTGTGCAGAAGAATTACACTGACCAAGCTGGCAGCTGTTTGTGAAGAAGAGGCTCCTGTGATAGACGCTTTTCCAGATTTCAAGGCAACCCTTGGACATTAGCCTGTGCTGTCTGTGTCAGATCACATTTAACCCTGATGCATTTAAGGACAAAGCATCGGCCTGACATTTGTGCTGATTCCTCTGGGCTCTTTACCCAGAATGCAGCTTGCTTGGGAATTGCTCGGACATGGAAGGGAACATCCCTGTGGGAAGGCAGCAGGCACACAAGAGTACACAGTGAGACGAGGAAGAAAAATAAATAAAAATAACATGCACGCATACTCAGAGATGACACATTTGGTCACATGCATACATAAAGACACGCTGAAAACATTGTGACACTGGGATAAAAGTGTGAAAGAGATGGAAAGATGGAAGCATCCCAGTCCAGACACAGAGACACAACAGAAGCCTTCCAAGCTTTTAAATTCAGCTTAGATGTCTTTAATTTCCAAACATTTTTTCTGCCACTGGAGCTAAACCATGTGTCTTTTCTTTCTTAGCGAAAGAGCTTGGCTCTGTGAAATGGGCCTCCGTTATGGGCTACGGTGTTATCAAGACCAAACTCAACTGTCAGCCAAATCATGTTCAATCTGCATGTGTTGCTTTTGATTTTACCCAGATCAATAGCTGTCCTTACTTGACTTAAACACACACACACACTCAGAGGGAAGGGGGAGGGCATGCAGATCTGTGGCTCTGGTGTGTCAAAGTCAGCGAGTGCGTGGGAGGAAACGTTCAACATGAGCTGCCCTGGCAGCCTGCAGTGAAGGGAAAAGAAAGTGAGAAAGAAAAAAGAGAGAAAAAATAGTGGGGTCTATACCACACTGCTTGCTGTGTGCGCCCTATTTGAAGGTATACCGTAAGCTGAATCTATAAAGGTGAGATAATCCTCTACTATTAAAGGTCATTGCTCCAGACTTGGGTTTAACTCTGGCCTGTGATTCCTGCCTTTTTAATGTTTCACCAAAGCACAGTTCAAATTCATGTGAAAAATCACTGGAAACGCAGCTCAGATAAGTAAATAATATCGCTTTTTGTGTACCTGACTTATCAAACAACACGTGACGCTGCCACCAGGATTTGAAGATAAGGTTGTATTCGAGTCACTGTGCATCAGCACAAACCTTTCAACAAGCTTCTCTCTACAAGCTCTCTGCCTGGAATAATGCTGAGTCTGCTTTCAACACCTACACCGTGACAAGTAAACTCTCTCTCTCCTTTTTAATTTTTCATCATTCTGAAACTATTATATTTCTTGTCATCGCAGATGAGATGAGATTAGTCACAGTCCCATTGTTGTTTTGTTGTGAATTCCAGTAAGGATCCGAGAGCGTCACCGTCTGCAAGCGCTGACCCAACTTCCTCTGTGTGCACTCAACAGAAATGATAAGGCTTCCACTTCCCCCTCCACCCTGACTCGGGCAAACAGCTGCCCTGCAGCCCCAGACTGGGTCCTCCGTGTCAGCATCGGGCCTGACTGCACGTTGCTCTGTGTGGACTTGATGGAGCACGCAGATAAGGCGCACTGTTGTGGCTGGGTTTCCTTTAAAGCAGTATGCGATCGTTGGAGGATAGGTTCTAGCAAGTAACCCCTATGTTTGGATCCCTTTGTGTCTGCTTGTGTGTGCATGTATGGACTGAGTATCATGGAAAAGCACTCATATCCTTCATTTAAACAAAGCAATATAGCGGTCCAAAAATACGTCATTATGTGCACGTGCAAATCTGTTTCTTTATCTTTATTTTTTTTTATAATTATCAGCAAAATCTCTTTTAAGCATCAAAAGTGAAAACACTCATTCAGTAGAAAATAATGACCAAACATGATTGATGGTGTTTTTATTTGTGTGTGGTTTTTATGTCTAAGATCCTTGTTTATTCTTGTAAATGAGCTCTAACCTGCAGGATTTCCAAAGCGGTCATATATCAAGTACAGAAATGACATCGTGACTTTGCACTGCTGTACCTACTCCAACCAGTCCTTTATGGACACTTAAAATATCTTTATGAAACTGTTGTTATATTTGTTGCAATCTTTGCTGCCCTCTTGGCCTGATCTCCAAAAAATTAAATTATAATGAGACTTTTTACCGGGGTAAATAAAGAATATATAAAAGTCATTTCTATAACACCGATTTCAGCTTGTGCCTCGTGACAAAAATGTTCTTTCAATTTCAAAATGATTTGATGTCAGATATGATTGACAGGTAAACAGGTTCTTTCTTTATCCCAAGTGCCACTACTGAAGGTGTTACGGGTATCAAAGAAAAAAACATGGGTTGAAGCTTACAGAAATTAATAAATTGTGAAACAGCTACAAATAATAAATAAATATAGATTTTTTTTTAAAAATTTTTTACAAATATATCCTAAAAGTATATAAAATGCCAAAAAGTGATGCTAAAAGATAAAGATAAATGACAGAAGCTTAAAACAGCAGATAAAATACTTAAGATGTGAAGTTAAAATAATGGATAAACTCTTGAAATACATAAAACAACCACCCCAGTAAAACCTGCCTAATATTGCAGAGGTTCTGCGCTGCGTTGGCAGCAGATCTTTTGGTTCCTGTGGCTTTGATGGCTGCCTCAGCGGATCGGTTTTGTTCCAGTCCAACTTGCTGCGCTTGGCCAGATCGGAAAGTAGGGACTTTGGAGCTGAGTCAGCTTCGCTTTTGCTTTGTGTTACTTTAGCTGTTCCCCAGAGGTCTGTGCAGCGCCTTTCTGATTGTAACTGCTGCCGCTGAGCAGTGCCATAGTGTGAATAGGTGTATGGGAGTCTGCAACAATGTTTGGGTACATGATGTGCAAAACTAAAAATCTACAATCAAAACTAGGACCCATAGTTTCCCCATTAAAATGTTCCTTTCACTTCACTGGAAAGTAGTGGCTCTGATAGTTAAAAGCAATGGCTAAACTGCTAATCTGATCTTTACAGTTGCAAGAAAAAACTCTGGGAACTCTTTGGAATTGTAGAAACATAGTCAAGGTGTCTGGCACAGCTTCACCTGTTTCCAGACTGCACAGAGAAGCTTAAAACTCTTCAGCTTGTAGTCTTCAGCAGGGATGACACACACTCATTATGCATCATCACCGAAGTCCATTGACACAACAGGACTCAGGTTCAGCTCTGCCGGCCTTTCCCCCATCAACACCCTTCCAGGTTTCAGTTATCATTGCCTTCATGAGCAGCTGAGGTCTCAGATCAAGGATTTTCCAGCACCCTTTTCTGGGACTCTGAGAAGGCCGGGTACTCTGAGCCATTGGCACATACTGTAAATGTTAATAACAGTGAGGGCCCGTTCTTGACCCAAGGAGCGAAGCTACCCTCTCACTCACTGGAGAAAAATTCTGTGTAGAGGCACCGACCAGCTCCGGCTCTTTCCTGAAATACTGCAAAGAATGAGTTTAACTACAGTTTTGAAGTTCTTGCACTTTACCTGACTGTCTTGTTTTCAGGTTAGTTTATTGACGTGTTGTAAAGAAATGTTGCATTTTCCAATTCAGACATGCTGACATCCTACTGTGTTACCAAGGTAACAAATCAGTCCACACCATGATGAGGTTTGGATGTTACTGTGCACCACCTTTGGCTCAAGGTCAACTTTTGCCTCTTCTGTCCACAGGACATTGTCAAATAAGTGTTGTAGATCATAAGGGTAGTTTTTAAGCAAAGCACAAAGACGTAATTTATTACCATCATTCTTACTCCGTGTTTGAGACTGTTACACAGCGTAGAGGTGTGAGATTTGAAACAAAAAGTACAGTGAAAAGGAGACACGAAAGTGGCGTTTAAGCCCTTCAGAATTCAGGGAAACACAAAAAGGAACTTAGACACAATCTATAAACAGTGCCTGTGTGGCCCACACCAGATCTGCTGACATGTAAATGAAGACCGAGTGTCTCGAAGTATGTCAGAGAACAGCTTGGCAGACAGCCTACGTGCAGCTCAGGGTGCAACCAAAGATGCCAATGCCTCGACTCCACTCTACCATGTCAGTCACTCTAATTAAAACCCCAACATAATAGTAAGGCTGTTTTCCTTTCTCTGTTTTATCAGTTTGGCTCAGAAATATTATATGAAAGATGCCAGACCTTTGTCTGCCTTTTTAGTTTGCAAAGTGCCCACCCCCATTGCTTTTAGGCAAGGGATGTAAAAAAAAAAAAAAAAAAGTAAGATTACTTCACACAGTTTCACACAGGGGCCCCTAGCCAAGCATATGCTATCAATACTCTGACAGCCTGACCCAAAAACTTTTGATGGCCATGCAGCTGGTGAATATGAGACGTATGCTTTAAAAACTGGTTAAAATTGAGATCTGTAGAATTACTCTCATACATAGCTCTCTGGTGTCTACACACCAATGTGAGATAAGAATTTGCATTTTCCTTCTTAATATGTGCACGTTTAAGTAAGTGACAGTTAAAACAAATATAAATAGAATAAAGAAAATGTTTTTAAAATTAAATTTAACTGATGCACTTGGTGACGGTGGGAAGAAAAAACAGGAAGAATAGGAAGACTCCTCTGGCATAACCGAGCTCAGGTGAAAGAGGGGGAGACAGATTAACAATGACTAATGATTAAATGTGTAAAACGCATAAAATAAAGTTAAAGGTGTTGTTTCTCTTGGAATTAGGTTTTACTCATTTAATCAATATTCTTTTTTTATGTTTTCCCTACTACTCTCGCTTAAATCTTTCATATAATCTATTTTAAAAAGGAAAAAAACAAAACAACAACAAACCCCCAAACAATAACAACAACAACAGAACAACAAAGAAATTGGGAATTCAAAGAGTCGGGTAATTTTATTTTACAGTGCAACAGCGACATCTTGTGTCCTTACGAGGAATCACAAGCTACGCTTCAACGATGCAGTGAACATCTGTGGCCAGCGGGCGTCGCTGTTGAGTCATACTGCGTTGACTGCACAGACAGCAGAAGTCAACCAAAGAATTTCTTCTACAGCTATCGCCATCTTGCTCCAGAACATAAACAACACCACCGAGTCCCGTTAGCGTTTGGGTGTACCGCTATTTTTCTTTTCTTTTTTTTGTTTTCACTTTTTTGATTTTGGAAGAAAACAACAAGTCTTCCGGCCTCAGCGCCGATCCTTTCAAACGGAGATGATGTTTGATGTGGTCACCTGAGCCGCCGTGTCAGTCGGTATGACAGTCGTCAGCTGATGTGCGTTGCTTGTAAATTGGTTGTTGTGTGCGCGAGCATGATACCATGACAACGGTGCGGCTGTCATTAGCACACCCTGAAGCATTTTATTTTAGCTTCATATCTACCCGCTTTAAGCTAAAATGAACGCCGTAAGCGGAATTGGCTTTTCAGTCGTGTATGTTTAAACCAGCTGAGCTTAGACGATGACGCCAGGCTAACCAGGCCGTTTGGTTTGTTAGCCGAATAAGCTACTTGTGTGCGTGTGTGCGCGTGTCTTTGGATAGCGCACATTGTGTTCTGGATGGGTTCTGCTGTGAAATAAGCTGAGCCGTTTCTTACACAGACATGGGGATACACTGCGGATTTCCCTACCGGGAGGGAGCGGAGGTTTAAAGGGGGGGGCGGGGAGAGCAGCAGAGGGGGCTTGCTGCTCGTCATCCCCGAAGAAATGGACCAAGAGTACGAGAGACGGCTGCTGAGGCAAATCAACCACCAGAACCTGCCCGCAGAGGCCCGCCTGACCAAGGTGAGGAACAGAGAGCGATATTTAACACGTTTCAGCACGGCTGCAGAGTCTTCTCGTGTGAGTGTGCTGTTTTTTTATTAGCACTGATCTTTAGTGGACTGCTTATCTCTTACGTTCATCTTAGTGTTTGAGTGCTACCTGCAGTCCTGTCAGTGTGAAGTCAGGGGACCGCTTCATCCCTACTCGAGCTGGAAGCAACTGGAGCATCAACTTCCACTATGCCAATGTGAGAGGTGTTCGTTTGGTTAAACTAACAGTGACAGCTCAGTAATCCAGGCCAGTGGTGACATACCTTTCACTTTCTTGACAGGAGAACTGTCGCTCTCCCAGTCAGAACCATAAAGCAAAGGACGCCACTTCAGACTCAAGCAAAGGTCAGAAGTCTTTATTATTATTTGTTATGTAAATGTGTTATAACAATCATTTAAAGTCCAGATCTGCACCTCTAACACGAGCATTTTTATCACCGCTCTCACTGCCGCCCCTCCAGATGCTGTGGCCTATGCTGCCCTGTTGAGGAATGAGTTGCTGGGGGCCGGGATTGAGACGGTGCCAGACCCTCACACGGAAGACCGGCGGCATGCAGTCCTCTCGCAGGACTCTCACAGTCTTTTTAGGGTAAATGACAACGGGGGTGTGGGTGGCCATTAAAGTGAATTTAAAGCGACTCCTCCCGTGGGCTGTCAGTGTGATATTTACATGCGGCTGTCATAAACATTTCACGCATGTATTATGCTGTTATTTTTGACTCAAGTTGGCCATAAGAGACAACGTCTGTACCAAAACCTGGTGGCAGTTTGTAACTGTGGTTCTGCTTCCTCTCTGCAGTACACTGTCCACACTAAGAGAGTGCCTTTTGATAATGACAGTGAAGTCTCACCATACTCTCTTTCTCCACTTAGTAACAAAAGGTATGAAATGTCTCACACACACGCTGCTCACTCATCAGGTGTTTGAGCCGTGCTTTTTTCAGGAGGAGGGGTTTAACGTCTCCATGTTTTGTTTCTTGTAGTCACAAGCTGCTCCGCTCTCCCCGCAAACCAGCCCGAAAGATCTCCAAGATCCCCTTCAAAGTGCTCGATGCTCCGGAGCTGCAGGATGACTTCTACCTCAACCTGGTGGACTGGTCAGCAGGCAACCTGCTGAGTGTTGGCCTGGGAGCCTGCGTCTACCTGTGGAGTGCCTGCACTAGCCAGGTAAGTGGGGGTGTGGGTTAGATTTTAAAGAGGTGCGCTGCAGATAAGGAGTACTGGACGTGCTTATTTTTGTGTTCAAACAGGTGACGAGGCTGTGTGACCTTTCAGTGGACGGAGACTCTGTTACGTCAGTGTGCTGGAACGAGAGGGTGAGCAAGCGACTGCTGCTTGTGTGTGGCACGAGAGAGGAGAGTACAGACAGGAGAACAATAATGTTTGGGTTGCT